TTTACCACTGGGTTGCCTTTTCGGGAAAAATACTAAGTTAGGATGTACGATAGATAGCAAGTCTCCTAGAACATATTGTTCTGATCGCTGTTAAATTTTTTTTATACTATGTAATTATTGTATTATGGTGACTTTTGGACAAATTTGCAAACTTAGAGGGCGTCCATTAATCACGTGAGCGAGTTTTTAAGGATTTTTGGATTCTCCTCCCCCTTGGTGATACATGATGATAATCAAAATTACTCCCCCTCCCCCACAAACATCACGTGTATTTTTAGTTACGTGATAAAACTGTACATTTTTTCATTTTTTTTTGAAATTGTTTGATTCATTTAAAAAAAATCAGTTAAAAAATAAATATACGTGATATATTACTATACCCCTCCCTCCACCACGTGACATTTTGTGATTTTTTGTCAAACCCCCCTCACGTGATTAATTGACGCCCCCTTATGAGTTTGAATGTAATTACTCTTAAGATACACATTTGGAAATGCTGTTTCTAAGATTACAATTTCAAAATATGCAAATAGAATTCAATTATCTGCTTTCAGTATAAATAAATCTATGGGGGTTTACCCTTATTAAAAATATGGTAAATTTCATAACGCCAACTATTACCCACTTGATTCTCTTTGATAATGAATAAAATTTATAATAATGAAATACAAAAATTAATCCATTTTGTGATAAGCGAGTATTCCTTCGGCGCGATATTAAAAGATTTAATCAAATTAGCACGTTATTTCCGCACTCATAATCACACGAACTCGTGCTTGTACTAAAGATGATCCAATTAATATGAGCTGGAATAATTTATTTAACCACCCTGTGACGTTGTAATAATCAGACATTTACTATTTTATATAATAATTGTCATATTCACTATTTTATTAGTTTCATATTCATATTAATTATAAATATTTGTCACATCTTTAATAAAATTTTAAATTATATACCATCCTGCGGTTTAGACATTTTATTTTAAATAAACCAAAAATTTACTTATGCTTAGGATAAAATAGTCCCAAATAAAACAAAAAAATCATTTTTTTGCATAGTTTAAAAGTATTTAAAAATTTGCTTTATAGTTTGTATCATAAACAAATAAAGTTTTTTTTCGAGAATTTTGTGATAATGTTGTTTTGAGCAGTTGAAGTTAATGTTGATTTTGTGATATAATATAATACACGGAGTAGAAACTTCATATCAACTACATCAAGACTAAGACTTGGACACACATTGTGCAAGATCGATCTTTGGAGGTTGGGAATGATAGAGGATTAAAGGCACCAGAAACAGTAGATCATATCTTCTGGAAATGCTGAAGATTTGAAAATCAGAGGAAAATTATGTACCAAAAATTACGAAAAAATAGTCTTATATTATATAGTCTTTCCAGTAAACACGCAAATTCTAATATCCAGTAACAATGTTGGCATAAAAAATGGGGTAAAAAAAAAACCATATGAACTTTTACTCTAGCAAAGGTGTAAACAATAAAAATTAGTGAATAAAATAGTAAATCAAGTAAAAAGCAATTTTGCAATAGATAATTTAAATAAATAGTTATTCCAACTCTGCTGATGATTATTTCAGACAAAATACCACATCAAGGTTACATACAGTATTATCCCTGTAAAAAATGTACCCATAAAATTTATATTTTGCATTGGTTAAATAATGTAGCTATTATTTCGTGAAATCCTTTCAAAATTAGAATAAGACATTCGATCTGATTGCTTCCTGGCTATATCCTATATGGCAAAATGAACCAGACGACAAATTTTTGAAAAACAGCAAAAACATCTCATTTCTATAATAATAAATTGGACTGGGAGTTATAGTTGGTGGTTGATAAAATTGTTTTGGTTTTTGCAATAGAATTGCTCAAAATCAAATTGTACCGTTGTGCCCCGCTTTACCCTATATTTCATTCTTCTGAAAGTTACTTTGAAAATATGGAAATTTTTAGTTTTTATTTTTTTATATTTTAATATTTTCATAAAGTCTTATATAATATATAAGTTTTTTCCAATGGTACTTTTTAATCGACTACATAAAATGTTTGTTAAAGAGGTTCATAATTTTTTAATAATCTTTAAGAAAATTTTGATTTTTGTATAAAGGATTTTGTGTAACTATATCAGTAAAATCAATAACTAATTTTCAGTATTTCTAAATTATTAACCATTTTCAATTTTTTCTTTTCAGAGATCAATATGCAGAAAACTGGAAGCAAAATTGGACCTATTATGCTGGTCATTGCAGTGATGGTCGCTCTAACAAGTATGTGTGAAGCTGCACCGAGGCTGCACAAGTAAGTAAAACTATTATTTTAATTTAGGGGCCGATTCAGCCGCACAACAGTCCAATGTTATGGCAAGGCCATGTTACGCTTCAACTTCCATACATTATGCTACCGAATCATGTTGAATACTGTCAAAATGTCATGTATTTGCAATGCATTCAGACGTTTTACATATAAACTGTAACGTCACTCGTATGCTATGAAGAAGCTGAGTCAGAAAGACCCTGTTAACTAAGATCGATTTTTGACATTTGTGCGGTTTCTACGTTAAGTTTTTTATTTGACAACCTGCGAAAAATGCCTGACTGCACAGCAACCACATGGCTTTGTCAATATTTAGAACGAATTAGTACGGAATGATCTTCATAACATAGCCTTGCTATGACATTTGTCTGTTATGCTGCAGAAGTGGTCCATTGTTTTTATTTATTAAAATAATAACACAATTTAATGTCTTCAATAAACTTCAATTTATCTCCTTTTCAATAATCTGACCACTGTTTTCAGGGTTTGATACTAATTTTGTCTAAATTTATATCAAGCAGACTGGTATAAAATTGAAAAATAATAACATTGTAATATTCAAGCATATTACAATGTAATTAGAAAAAACAATTACTGGTTTGGCTGCTAATAGTCCTCTCCTTAATCAACAAAACAATCACTGATTGTTTTCATATAACAGACAGATTGTAATTTAAGTATTGAGGAAAATGATTATAGTCGATTTGTAAATAATATAACAATTACATTAGCTTATTATGCTTACATTTAAAACTGTGCTAACTTTCCACTATTCCATTACAATTATGTAGGATTTTATACTATTGTTCAAACACGATGTTTTATGATTGTTATTTTAATTACAAATTAAACTTCATTCCAGTTTTCGTATAATAAAAAAGATTTACCTTTATTAGTATGCAAAGTATAATGATTTTAATTTTAACTGCTTATATTCAACAGTGTGGCAAATTTCCATCATTCTCTTACAATTATGTAGAAACTTGATGCTGATGTTCAAATTTGATGTTCCATGAATGTTGTTATTTTGATTACTCATTAAACTCGGTTCCAGATTATCGTACAATTGTATGAAAATCATAATGATTTTATATTTAACTACTTACATTTAAAACTGTGGCAACTTCTAACTAGTCTAATATAATTATGCAGAAACTTTGATGCTGATCAAAATCGGTGTTCCATAATTGTTGTTATTTTAATTACTTATTAAACTCTATCCCAGTCTTTGAATAATGAAAGAAATTATTGTATATTTGTATAAAAAATATAACGATTTTACATTAACTAGCTTATATTCAAAACAGTAGCAACTTTCCACTATTCCCTTACAATTATGAAGAAACTTTGTCTGATGGTAATGTTCAAATTCAATGTTCCATGATTGTAGTTATTTTAATTAATAATTAAACTCTATAATAGTTTTCGTATAATACCCGGCTAGTTCTTCAAAATTAATAAGTTTCCTCTCATATTCCCAGTAGCTATATGTAAAATCTAGTACGTCAATAATTACGTTAAATAATTGGCTATATACATTATCCGGAGCAGAACTTATGGCCGAAGTTAAAACTAATTTATTGTTATTAAAGTTAAATCATTGATATGAATTACCTACTGGATATGGATTACTATTTGCAAGTATTATGGTATTACCTCTTTGATAGCATGTATATTGATAATATTAATATTATACATACAAATGAACGCACACAACATTTGACATTTAATTACTTGCATATTAATAAAATTATATTATATTATATATATATATATATATATATAACGGACATACAAAACTTATGTTTAAAATTTTCACACCAATATCTAGTTATTAGAAATTCTTTTATTGGGCGCATGGAATGCACCTATTTAATTAGATGTTAAACGAACACCATGTTGATGGCTCTGAAAATCGCAATCCTAGAGGCTAGAGACTGTATTGATTGATCTTGACAAGAAAAAAGGCAATACTCACTTATCACATTCTGTTATGAAGAATCCAAGCACAAACCAAATAAAATTTCACTATCACAAACTGCCCTGATCATTTCGGCATCTCGAACATACGACGATTATGATCCGGGATGCTTTGGCGTCCCGGGTCAAAACGCCTCTGTTGAGCCTGCTGCGAAATGCAGACACCGAATGAATTCGAGAGCTCGAAATTTGCCTTAACGTCAACTGTCCATAGACCAAAGACAATAGTAATATGCGTAGTAAAGATAAGACTTCGGTTTGTATACAAACCCGATTGAATTTGTATCGATATATCGATATGGTAGATAAAACTGCCCTCTGACCGATTGGTGTAAAAGTGTAGTTGATTTTAATTCTTAGCCAAAATATTTTGATGTCAGTATAGACAGCACAGTGCGGTATCTTGTAAGCAAATATTAAATCGGTCAATTCTTTGGTAAATGAATATTATTTTATTGCTACCGGCAAATTCGTTAGTTTCCTATTGAAAAAAAGTTAAAGATTTTTGTATTTAACTGGTAATTTCTGTGTATTTTCAGGTTTTGTACACAAACGTGAAGTCTAACCAAAGTTAATATTTTAACGTTTGTGACTTTTCGATGTTAATTTTTATGTGTGAAACGCTAGAACGAACTGCAAAGATTTAACTTTTTGACGTACATTGATATGAAAACTAATATAATATAAAATTCGAAATATTGGAATGAATCAAATGAATATATGAAGACTGAAGATAAATTGCTGGAACTTTCCGTACCGTAACAAAATGTTCGGCCAATATTAAATGTTCTCACACACACATCCATTTTTTGTGAGGTATGGCAAAATGTTCAGAAACCTTCAAAACGTCAAAAAATGCAAAAAAATTTATTTTCGATTTTCGGCCCATCATTATAACTACCCTACAGGAAGTTGAAAAGATATCACACGTGGTGGTCGCCCACCACAATCAAAGTATTTTATTAATTTCATAACTACCGGAGCGAGATCATCTAAACTAGAGTGCAGTGCCGCATTTAAAAACAAATATATATATATATATATATATATATACATATACATATACATACATGCGCATAGGTGTTGCCTCATGTGAACTGGCTTGTGATTTCGAACTCCCGCTCTAGATTACCTGTTATCATGCAGTAGTGATATCAATTTTCACTTAAAAATTGAGATGAAAAATGTTTTCTGTGGAAAATAGCCCATTCGGAAAATCTCCCACACTATTCTTCTCTAAATCAAGTTGAAATTTAACTCACCCAAAATCCAGTTGGAGTTTGACTCAGCTCACCGATCTGCCTTAGGGCAGTATTACCCATTATATATGCATATGCATAAATGTATAAGTAGATATACATAAATGTATATTTACATATGTAGATATGTGCGTAATATAAAATTCTAGCAGCCATACGAAATGACCGCAGTTCTAGATCGAAGTTGTAATTTAAACGATTTATGCAAAGGTCTGCCTAATCAAATTACTGAGGGCAGGCATCGAGGTAGTTTCTTTGTTAAATAATCACAAGTATTTCATACATATTTATAAAAGTCATAAATGACAAACAATTAAACAAATTTGGTGTTATTTTCTTATTTGTTGTTTTAAATAAATGAATATGCCTAAATGCATATACGTACGAGTAGATATGTGTATTCTAAGAAATCTATCTATAGTCATACGATGTGACTTTCTTTTATAATTGAAATAATTTGTGCAAAGGTATTTGCATAACCAGATTACCGAGGCAGAAGATATTGTACTTTTTATACATAATTGTAAAACAAATCGGAACAGAATGAATTTTACATATTTTTGATTGTTATGCAACATTTTACTTTAGGAGATTTGCAAAATATAATCATCGATGGACATCATACTGGGCCCTGCAAACAATATTGTCATATTGTTTTTAGTTGTACATTGGGATTTTGTGGTTTGGTTTTGTACAAATAAGAATTAATTAAAATGTTTGCTTCGTAAAAGTAGTATTTTATTAAAAATGTGACGTAAAAATGTCATGCATAGCAGATAATCTATAATTCAATAACTATAGATTTAGAATTAGTATAAAATGTAAGTAGTAAGATATATGAGAATTGTTATATCACGTGTATGTATATTAGAATGATATATTGAAATTATTGCAAAAGATGATTATAATAAATAAATATAAATAAATGTACTAGCTGACCCGGCAAATATGATATACTACATCGTATACTGAATATATAATTTAATAAACAAAACATGCATGACTTACCGAAACGCGCCCGCGCTATTAATCATCATTTTTTTCTGAATTGAGTCGAATTTTGACATTAAGACACTTATCAATTTTGATTCCAAAATCACAGGTGCATTTTGTCCAAAATTCATTCTAATCACTACACTTCTGCATAACAAAAATAAACAAACAGTACACATGAGTTAGAACTCGCCCATAAACGGTGATTTTTATGCTTTCGGAAAGTCATTGAATAAGTGTATATAGTATCACAATTTTTTTTTTATTAATTTATAACCCTGGTATCTGGATACTTCCTTATTGTCACACAATATTTTTTTGCACTACACAAACTGATAATCAAAATAACTTATTACCAGCACGTACTATAAAATTCGACTGTTACATATTTGTTACTTCTTTGGCAATGACATAAAATGGAATCTATAGTTGTCACCTATTTTGGAGCGAACTACGTGAACTTGCAGAGATGCACAACAGTTTCATACCTTTCAAAGCATTTCTAATAATAGTCATTATACTGAATTGCTCAGATATTTGTTATACACACTTTCTAATTTTAATTAATTCAATTTAACACTTTATAACTTTTTTAATAATTGTGACATATTGACAGGTGAAAAACCACAGGTAATAATTATTTTAAGACACTTACTACACTTCCACCTAACAAAAATTAAACAAATCGTCTACATGAGTATAATTTGCACAAATAAAGTGATAAAATAAAATTGTATTGTTACGGGTCTATAATCGTATGAGTTGGTAAGCAACTGTTAAAAAACCATGTGAGATCGACCTATTTGTTGTTTCTTTGGTAATGACGACAAGATGGAACCAGTAGTTATACTTTGGCGCAAGTTATATAACAAACAGGGGTGCACAACTATTTTATAACTTTCAAACAAGTTCTAGTCTTTTTACTAAATTGGGATATAAATTATCAATTTGAACATTTCTTTTTAAACTGACGGAAATCACAGAATTCTTATGATCTAGTTATGATGGTGATGAACAAAATTGAAAAATCAAATTATTTTTCTATTATCACTTTATAAAAAATATACTCTAATTATTATTTAAATCAAGTCAAACGTAGGTATTGAACAAATAATCTAGTATGATTTAGGATGGGAGTTCATATAGTAAAAAAGTACATCTGTAACTTAAAAAAAAGTGAATTCGCTCTTCCGACACTGCCATTACGAAACGATATTGCCTCTTAATAAACGCACATGGTCACAAAAGACGGCTATAAACTCATCATTTCAAGTGTTATCGTTAGGTTATTGTGTTCATATAATACTTCAGCTTTATAAATAATAATAAAATAATTTAATAACACAATAAAGTTATTATACATTTTACGAGAGAGTATAGGTTACGAGATTGTGCAAATATTATGGGAAGTAATTCTCGCGTTCCACGGTGCTCCTGTTTACTCTACATTTCTTTCGGCGTTTACTTTAAGAATTACCAAGAATATAATTTACTTTCCCTGTGACGATTTTGTCGTCAAGAAAATTTACATACAAAAACACCCACACACAAACAGAGTTACAGACACAATCACAAACACACACAATTGATAAAACGTGATTCGGTTAAGATCGTAAATATTTAAAACAATTACACAAATGTATAAAGAGTTTATTGTATGTGTTAACAGTACCTGAAGAAGGTGACATCCCGCATTACCGAAATGTAGATATTACTCATGAATGATTTTTTATTTAAAAGGCGTTTAATTTAAAATGCAATCATAATTAATATTAAATACTTCGAAAAACTAACAATACACATATCGACATTTTTAAGGTGAAAATATATTAATAATTTTTTTGCACATTTTTTTTGTTTTATATTTAATATGCCGGACTGCGCAGCAAATACACAGATATTCACAGTTTTTACTACCAAGAACTAATCATAACATAGCGTTGCCATAACAATGCTATGTTATGGTCTACTTTACAAGTTCAATTATTGTGATTTTTATTTAATTTTCAGCCGTCTAAACTACTATTCCGACATGGATGGCGAGCCAGATCCTTCTGTGGTTTTGGAGATGCTTGCAAGGCTGGGTCAAACTATCATGCGAACGCACGATCTTGAAAAGTAAGAACTATTTTCTGTATATTTATCCATAATATTTAGTTATAAAATATAATTCATTTAATTTAACATACACTCACGTATCCATTTTTGATGTAGGAAAAGTGAATATTCATTTATTTATTAATTTTAAATTCATTGACTACCACCAGTAACATATAATTTTAATTCAGTAGAAACTATAATAACATAATTATTAAGGGCAAATGCAACTAATTACGAAAACCATGCTATATAGACAAAATGGCATATGGGGTAGAAGATACTGAGATACAAATTTTTTAGAAGACAGTTTAGAAATAAATCGTTTGTTCTCCCTTAGAACATCAACACATGTTTAATTTTTAAGCTTGTTTATTTTAGCTCGCTTGATTTTTGAGTGTGATTTGTTTTGACTTGCTAGATTTTTGAGTGAGATTGGTTTTAGCTTGCTAAATTATCAAATATTATAAATCAGATGATCAAATGCTGACTCCCTATTGGTTGGCACAAACAAATCCATCCACAAAAATAGCGCACTTTCTAACTTTTCCATGATGACATTTTTCAACTTGACAACTAGCATGCTAAACAGCAAAAAGTAACGAAACTAGTGGGGTGTATGGCATCGTGCTTTAAGGCAAATTGCTAGAACTTCCCGTACCGTAACAAAATGTTCGAGGAATATGGAATGATTTCAAATAGATTTCTATAAATATTGAAACATTGTCTAATATTTATAAGAATTATATAAACTAAATTGCAAAGTTAAAATTATTTGTTTAAAGTATATGAGAACTTTAGTCAGAATTAAAAATAAAATCTGAATTATTTCCGACAAAAAAAAATTGAAAAAAAAATTTGAAACAATTTTTTTTTCCAAAACCAAATTTTTTTTAAAAACAAACAGAAAGTTCTTTGAATCATTTAAATCGGACGCTTAGTTTCCTCAAAAACTGCCATTTTTGCATATTTAGCTCTGTATCTTCGAAATGGCTGGGCCTGCCTTTGCCATAAACTAATAACCACTTCTCCCAATCATTACTAATTGAATGTTTTTTAGATTATTTAAATGGGATGCTCCGTTTACTCAAAAACTCGTTTTCTATTTTCTGCACTCTTTGCTCTTTATCTCCGTAACTGCTCCACGAATCGAATGTTTTTGAACCATTCAAACCGGTTGATCCGTGCGCCCGAAAACGTGACCAAACAATTGTATCCATACATACATACACACACACATCCATTTTTTCTGAGATATTCCAAAATGTTCAGAAACGTTCAAAACGTCGAGAAATGCAAAAATTTTTAATTTCGATTTTTGGACGATTACAATAACTTACCTACTTACCCTACGGGAAGTTAACAAGCCTCGCGTGATTTGGACTTTGAACGTGTGCTATTTTGTGGATGGATTCGTTCGTTCGAATCAATAGGAAAGCAATATTTTGTCATGTGGTTTGTCCTATTAGAATGTCTAGCAAGCTAAAACGAATCTCACTCAAAGCAAGCAAGCTTGCTGAATCGTGTGATTTGAACAGCTTGAAAAACTATCATGAAATTTAACGCGACAAAATCAAGCATGCTATCCAACCCAGAAAACAATCGTCGTATGAACAGGGCTTAACATAGCCTTGCCATAACATTGGTCAAATTTACGGCAGAATCGGCCCATAAATGTGTAAATTTCTAGGTAGCTTGTAAATGTTTTAATTTATAGCACAATTTACCTTGAATTTAATATAAAAAATGTATCTATTCTAAGACCTTGTTATTCTATTACCCTTGATTTCCTACGAATGTTGTGTTTCCAGTACCAAACGCGGACTAGATCTGGGCTTGAGCCGTGGCTATTCTGGTTCGCAGGCCGCCAAGCACTTGATGGGCTTGGCAGCCGCCAACTACGCCGGAGGTCCCGGCCGCAAGAAGAGGGAGCCCATGATGACCGAGTAAACCCTTCTTAGTGCTAGCTGCTAACGACAGCGCACCCGTCTTTGTATTGTTGGTTTCACATCAATATCATCGTTGCATTTATTAGTTTCTGTTAGCTCCAGGATTAGAGTTTAAAATGTATAAACAAATTGTGGATTTGTCAGTGTTATATTTTAAATAAAACCTAGCATTCAGCCTTCTTTGAATTGAAAAATTCATAAAGGCGCATGCGGTTTCTGATACATATCCCTCCAACAAACTTATAGTACAACTGTGTGATATTTAAACAGAACTTTAAAGAGCTTGATTGTTGTCCTTGTGGAATCAAGCGATATTTATATAATATTCTTTATACCTATCTATATGCACTCAAAATACGTTGACAATCCACAACAACTAATTAATTTAACTCTTCTTGTCTATGCTACGCTTCCTTCTATGGTAAATTAAAATATTTATTATTAACGCATAAATTTCAGCATGTGTGTACACCCAAAATAAAAAAAAATATAATTGTACCGACAAAGTAACCAACGAATACTTATAGCGACTAATGCGATATATGTTTGTGCAAAAATACATTCTGAACAACTTATAAGTGAATATCAATTATAAATGTTGATATCATGTATATATAAATTTACATAATAATACATATACATGTGTAAACATGTATGTGTTTATATATGTATATGTATTAAAAGTATAAAATTCTGTATTATTGAAATAGTCCAACTATTAATGTAGATGTGATACGTTTTAAGATTGTGAACCATTCAAATTTAAATCTAATAAAATGTAATCAAGAATAATATATTTTGTTGTTATTTCATATCATTTGAAAAAAAAAACAGTTTCAGACCAATTTAAAAAAAAAGTGACAGTCTGTATTTGGTGTAGCAGGACATTATAATATTATAAATCTAATAATGATATCAATTCTCGGATAAAATAAAAATATCATAGCAATGCTATGTTACGGGTATATAATTGTATGAATATGGTTCGAAATTCTATTAAAAGTTTCAAATCATTGATCAACTTTTATTGATTATTATTGATTATTTTTAATTACTCGATTTTTGAATTGCGGTACGGAAAGTTCCAGCAATTTGCCTTAAGGCACGATGCCCTAATTGCCTTAACTTAACTGACAGGATTCCACTTACAGTTAGTTGTATGATTTGTTAGTAACAAACTATCAAAAAGCTATGTGTTTGCTGTGCGATCAGGCGTTATACACATAAAACCTAACTTCACGTATGTGCTATCGACGAGACATCAGAAAGATGCACTTATAATAAAATTGATATCCGACGTTTGTGGGTTTTGTAGGTAGGCCCAGCAAATACATAATTTTCTGACAGTTTGTTACTAGCAACTCATACGAGTATAGACCCGTGACATAGCATTATCCTAACCTTTCTATTTTATTCGAGATTTAGCCACAATATCTATTAATCGTTTTCGGGTTATATTTGTCTGTTTAAAAAATACGAATATTTAAAATAATTTATTTATACTGTAATATATAATTATAATAAACCATTTTAAAATTAAATAACTAATATATAACAAATAGCTTTATAAATTTATCGCATCCAGAAAAATAGTATTCAAATTAAAACTATGGCAGGGTTTCAAAAAAATGATAAATGAACAGGACAAGTCTAATTAATAAAATAAATGTGTTAAAATACTTTAAGCGCATGCATTTAATTTGATTACTAAAAACGTCAGAAATTAAATTATAAATACTATCACGATATCAAATTTTAAATTTCATCATCTAATAACGAGTACCAGGAAAATTATTTATAGAAGCGTTGCAATTCAAATATCAAGAGCAGTGCAAACGTTTGAGTTTCAAATTTCACAGGGAATTTATGACTTATTTAAAATTATTTAAGATGTTAAAGACTGCGATCATTTTCTCAGAATTCGTAATAAGATAAATAACAAATTCCAATAAGGCTGTAAAAAGATAGCTTAAACAAATCAAGTTTGGTTAGGCTGATTAAGTCCTATTAAAGTTCTTTGTTAGGAAATAAGGTTAGATAGTATGTACTAATTTAGAAACATAAATTGCACTCACCTGGACACACACTGCCGTGGATCGCCAGAAAGTTAAAAATATTAGTAACTGTTGTCGATTGTTAATAAACTCACAAAACAGGTAAGAGCAGGCATATTTGTCAGACTTGGCTATAAAAAATCTAGCATTAGTACAAACGTTTAAAAAATAAATTAAGTTAAGCGAGCGCCCATTATTTGCGATTTTAAAAATAAACTTTTGTTATTTTAAAATTTTTAATAAATCGCCAAATAAAAATAAATTAAAATTTACATTTGAAAAGTCTTTAAGTGTGATTAAAATATTAGCTTATTAATAATTCGGAAATATTGGGAGCTGCACGGCATTTTCAAGGTAAGTACACAAATAGGAGTAGATACAATGGATGGTCAAAGGAATGAGGGTGTTCTGTATCAAGGAATTTCTAAACTATATAAAACTTTTATTATTTGACGTCTACGCGTCCACTTTGAACGGCGATCCAGGAATATGATCATCTCCCCATTTTACAAACAAAATATATTCGCCACGTTCACGCACCAAATAACTGACTGTATATTGGTGTTTTCCTGTATGTTTAATAGATACTTCTTCATTGAAACCTTTTGGACCGTACACAGAAACTAGGAGAATATTATTTCCTAAAAAGAAATAATTAATCAGTAATACAAACCAAATAAATACACTAAATCAAATTAATTGTTCGAAGATAGTGACTAACCGGCTTCAGCTGCATTTAGTTGGAACTGATTTTGTTTGCCCATGTAGGCTTTCTTAAGACCTATTCCCTTGCTAGTTACAAGACTGGCATCAGAGTTAAATACAGGCATATTTGGCAAAAGTTTTTTGCCTTCTTTTGATATTTTTTGTACTGTCTGTACTTTCACTGAAGAAGTTTCTTGGGCACCTAACTCGGCTAAATTCTCACCTGGAAATAATAAATACACAATATATATCTTTACTTTATACATGAAAATTGAGCTTGATATTATGTTAGGTATGCTTAAACTCGAAAACGGCTGCACCGATTTGGCCAGCTTTAGTCTTGACATATTCGTGGTAGTACAGAAACAGTAGGAAAGGTGAGAAAATATTTCAAAATGGCACGGAAATTTTACATTTTGAATTTAAAGTAAATTAAAATTAAATTAACAAAGAGTACAAAATGCGCAGTTTGAAATGATCATATGAAGATGGCCTGCTTATGTATCAAATGACAAATAGTTTTGATAATTAGGTTAAGATTATGCTCAATTAAATTTATTCAATAAAATGTAATCAAGAATGATATGTTTTGTTGTTATTCATATTATTTGAAAAACTAACAGTTTCAGATCAATTTTAAAAAAATGTTCAAAGCCTTTATTTGGTGTACTGCGACATTATTTATTTATTTATTTATTTCTTCATACGCCAATCGGCTTGTACTTATAAAATTATGAATCTGATTATGCGACCAATTATTCTCGAATAAAATAAAAATGTTATGGTAATTCTATGTTTTGGGACTATATTCGTATAATTTGTTAGTAACGAACAGTCAAAAAACTATGTATTTGCTGTGCTATCAGGCGTTTTACACATAAAACCTTATCTTACGTGAGACACATCAGAAAGATGCATTTATAATAAAATTGTTATTTGACGTTTGTGCATTTTGTAGGTTAGGTTTTATGCGTATAACAGCAAATATATAACTTTTGGCAGTTTGTTACTACCAACTCATAGGAATATAGACCCGTAACATAGTATTACCACACCATTTCTATTTTATCCGAGATTTGGAATGATGAATATGAAGATGGCCTGCTTATATGTCAAATGTCAAATGTCAAATGGTTTCGACAGATTATATTAGGATTATGTTCAATTAAATTTAATCAAATATTCAATTGTAGTAAATAGTTTTATTTGTACACAAAAACATTATTAATCGAATGTTATTAAAAGTTCAAAGTATCGTACAAATGCTGTAATGTGTTCTAATTCTGAGTTTCTTATAGCACGCTTCTTATATTGCACAGGACACACAAACCGCGTTATCAAAGAATTAATTGTATCTATAATTTATTTTTTTCACACAATTTAGATCTCTTAAACCGATTAATTGAAAAAAAAATTACTGATTTAATTTTTGTATGACTTTTTTTTATCACTCTGCAATTTTTAAGTCTTACCTTCTACTTGAAGTTTGAAGGGCGATCCTATGATATGATACTGATTATATTTAACAGAAATGTAGTAATCTCCAGCAACCAGAGGCGTATAGCGAACTTTATATCCATCTTCGACCTCCGAACAATCGATGGCCGCTCTTCCAGGCCCGTCCAAAGTTACCCACAAAGTTCCAGCTGGCACATCGCAAGTATCCACCAAGAAATCTGATTTTTGTCCTGTTTTCGCATAATGAAGACCTTTGCCTGTAATAAAAAAACAATGAACAAAAGTGCATTATCTACTTTTGCATAATTTTTAAGCTTCAGGTGTACTAATGTTTTGTACACAAAAGGATATTATTAGTATTAAGCAATTGCCCTCAAGGTACATTGCGGAAGCATGACAAAACCGTAAGCGAAACTTTTTAATGTTTTCAAACTTTGGAAGTTAAGAAAATGACGAAACGTATTTTCAAACAACGTACTCATTATGATACGGAATAAGGGATTTAGGGAGTTTGAGATTATTTATATGCAGATGAAAATAAAAGTGAGCTAAAATATTTATTTACTATCCAGACTCGTTATTAAGTCGTCATCAATATTTAAAAATTCTCTAATACTAATAATTAACGTTTTATCACTTATGTTATTGAATGCAACTGTTTAATTTATTCATTAATTAAATTAATTATATTATTTAGAAATAAATAAATTTCTTGTCAAGTTGTGCTTTAAAAAAATTAGATTTCTTGTAGTAAAATTCATACTACAATTTTACCAAAATTTATTTTTGACCTTATGTACGTTTGTAAACTACCCCAATTGTGAATGAAATAGTGATTGGGCACTACTATATGAATACTTTATACATTCCTTATCTATGACTTTATATATAAATGACCAATAAATGACTCTATTTAGCCATTCAGGGCATCAAAAAAAGATATTTTTATGGTTGAGAATGTGTTCAATAATAATAGGCAAAATTCATATTAGAAATATGTAAATGAAGAATATGATCGACATATTTTTTGAAAAGGATAATATCTGTTATAATTGTCTTTTACCAATTAATTCTTCAGTATCTGTGTCACTGTGTTTTATATTTATTATCATTCATCCAAAATATAAATTTTGAAATTGATCTAAAATTTTCTGCACTTTTAACGTAAAATATTTAATAAATTTGAATTTGCTCGGAAAAACGAAATGAAATTACAAAATAATCAAAATTGTATCACACGGTCCTACAATAATAATACGAAAAACGTGTCTCTATAATGGTCTATTTTAAGTAACTTTCTGGTAACATCCATTCGCCTCGCCCAATCACAACTTTTTGTAATATTCATTTGTAAAAAGTGCGTAAAAAGTTTTATATAAATAAATTTTGGTTCCACAGCTCTTCTAAGTTTTTGCGTTTAAGGCGGCATTCTAGTGTAGAAATTTAAAAAAAAATCGTTTTTTTGTATCATATTTTCAGAGTTCAACTAATTAAGAATATGTATACGAGAGGATTTTTTTTAATTTAAATTATTTTTGCAAATACAGATATTTGACCATGATAATCTTCTTATGTTTCCTTCCTTTTGCAAAACTTAAAACGCGTTTTCTCAAAACCGCCTTTTTCAACACGATGCTCACGATTTCTAGAGTTCTACTGAACCGATTTACTTGCACTTTTCAGAGAATCTTTCTTATGGACTTCTCTCTAGTATACACTAGACTCATCCCCAAATTTTAATGTTTACTATATTTAAAAATTTGAGAAGCTCAAAAAAGTGGTTAAAAAAACAATCTGTTTTTTCAAACAGTTGCCATTCTGACAAAAAAATATCTTATCCATAGTATAGTAATAAAATATATCTTATTCTAGATTAGTAAGGCGTTTTTTTGTGGATTACTAGGAGGGCTACAATCGTAGGCATGATCACGTGTCAATTCCTTTTGGATCCCTGACTTCAGCAGCTGCTAGTTTTTAAAATTACTAATTTTTTTTTTGTTTTTACTTTTTTCTGTACTCTTGTAACATTGATAAATAAATTATAGAAAAAATGATAGTAAAAAAATTGGTTGACTCTTTTTTTCAATAATTTAAAATTATTGCCTCTAGACTAGAATACTCCCTTAATTAATAAACTGACAATGAATGATGATAATAGCATATATCATTTGACTCCACCACCTAATTCTCATTTTTATGTTCACTCACCGCTAGCCGAAATTGCAGCTGGGTCTACATCCTCATTGCCCACTTTCAGAAGATAAGGTGATCCCGGAATATGAATTCCGTTGAATTTGACCATAATATTATGAATGCCGGTCTCACGGGGAAACAGACGCACCGAGTACTGCTCTTCGTCGACTAATTGGGTGAAACAGTCGTATTCCTTTCCAGACGGAGCAAGGAGCTGTAAGTAATAATGTAGTGTGACAAGAGGAACATAAGAATAGCATTATTTACATAATAAGGATATGTTTGAATTTTGAACTTTAGTTCTGGAGTTTAATTTATAACTAAAGTTATAATATATACCGTTCTTTGTGGTGCAATTAGTTTGGATCAGTCGGTTGCAACGTAAGGTACTGTTTAAGACAATGTTGAACTTATGAGTAATTTAGTATAATTAAGTCGTATTAAATAAAACGATTATTAATTATATGACTAATTATGAGTACATTCAATTATCTATGCATTTCAAATTTTATTACATAAGTTTCAAAAAAAATTATTTCCTAAACTGTTAAGACGAATGTTTGATCCACGTGATGTTATTAACCCCTTGAATGGAAATCTTGATTGTCATTTATAAAAATAATGACGATCATCGGAATTTCATTAATTTTTGAAAATCAATAGCATCTTTTCCGATATTTCAATAAAGCAATGCATTGTTATATGCAGTACTACAGCGTTGAGAGTTTTTCTCATTTTCTTTTGATCGAGTAGTTGTAAATAGTTCTATTGTAAAGAATCCAAATTCTATGTTCTTTGAGAGTCTTATATAGTATATGATGAATGTGGCATCAACCACAACACTATGCTTAATGAATTCAGCAAATGAAATCTTGCCACATGTTGTTTTATAAATAGTATTTTGTTCCTATATAAACTTTGTGATAATGCTATAGACTGCCTTCAAATTTTTAACCAACTATTATTTAACGTTCCTGGATTATCTTCACAAACACAATAATTTTTTTATTTATCCTATTTCTAAATTAATTTTCTGTTAAATTTCCCTATTATACTAATGTCCTCTAACTTTAACTCAATAATAATATTGATATTCACAACACTTGTCTAAGCCAAATATTCTCCATCTCCTCCACTTAATCTTTATATTTCTCCCTAAATATGTTTTAGTATATGATTTTATTTTATGTCAGTTCATGAAATTGATACATTATATGTTATACTATTTTGTATTATATCTGTAGCAACTATATTATCTTATTTTTAGTATTTTTAAAAGCTCTTGGAACTATTCTGTGGGCTATGTATAAAAGACATAAATAAAATGAAAAAAATGAATAATGGACAACGCAAATGTTCCATAATTGTATCGCTACAATTCGAAAATTTACTAAATCTGAATACTGTAAAAATCTTATTATTTACTTACAATTCTTGGTTAAATTTACATATACCGGTACGTTCATGTAACTTGCTACAGTTCAGCCACTAATTTGTAATTAATATTAAAAAATAATGATTTTTAATTAAGAATTTTAATTTGTTTTTCAATATATGTTATTTAACTCAAAATTACAAGGTATATGAAAACATAAAAATAAATATTCATTAAAAATTCCCCAATTAATTTGATTGTAAATTGTAATTTTAAAATTTATTAATTAATGTAATAAAAAATTATCGCGTTAAAACTAATTCAGATATATAGTATTATATGAATTAGCTGATCATGTTGTTCGTTTGTTAGTTATACCTAATAGATACAATTAATGTTTGTAGAGAAAAAATTGTAGTATGAATAGTAGCTTTAAACACATTAATATCAATTATACAAATTAATTCAAAATTCATTGCACATGTGACCATAAAGTTTAGTATACGTAATCCATCAATTAAAATTTTCGCAAATGCGACAATTAAATTAAGCAAAAGCAGGCGTCTCTTAGATATAAAGCGGAGGAGTCAAAATAATATCGTGAACTTTTCGTACCCTCGCGTCCAATTGTCCTTTCGTGGTGCCGTTGCGCCGAATAATAAATTGAGCCGGTTTATCAGTCGGAACGATGCCTTTGGGGAACTGTGCAATCTCGAGCTTCTGTGCATCTCCTCCAGTGGGGTACACTATCACGTTGTACGGGGCATCCGGTATGTACTGATCGTTGAACTTGATACCGATTCGGTATTCACCTGTGGATTTATAAAATGCGCATATGTTAACTCTAAGTCTAGACGCCCTTCACTAGGTCATTGCGTTGTGGAAATGGTCAGTTGCAAGGTGCATGTCAATTGCATCAAATTTAATAGTCACTAATAAAGGGCTAATTTTTGGAGAAAATAGAAATGTTGTGGTAATTCTATGTTACGGGTCTATATTTGTATGAGTTGGTCATAAACTGACAATAAGCTGTGTATTTGCTGTGCGATCAGGCGTTTTTCACATAAAACCTAACCTCGAAAACACACAAATGTCAAATAACAAATGACAATTTTATCACCTTCACGTAGGACAAGTTATAGTAATCGCAAAAAAGCGAAAATAAAATTTCTTGCATATCTTTACGCTTTAAGGTTTTCTGAACATTTTGGCATACTTTAGAGAAAATTGATGTATGTATGTGTGTGTGTATGTATGTAAATGTGTGTGCGGATACAAATTTTCGTCGACGATTTCGGGAACACGGTCAACCGATTTGAATAATTAAAAAAATATTCGATTTGTATTGATAAGGAGAAGTGCTGATCAATTTTTGGCAAAAGCAGGTCCAGCCGTTTCAAAGATACTGGGCAAAAAGTGCCAAAAATAGTAACTCAGTTTTTAAGAGAACGGAGCGTCAGGTTTGAATAATTTAAAAAACAATTTTTTTGTATTGACAAAATGAAGTATCGTTTAGTCTTTTTGAAGGCAGGTCTAGCGATTTCGGAGATCCAATAAAAAAAGTAAAAAAAAATGCAATTTAACGAACAAAAATGATCATTAGACATATGCACATCAAATTATCACATATTTTATAGATATTTTAATAATAAAAACAAACTTTGATTATTTTTCAATGGGTTCCATACCAATTCGATATTTTGTTTCGACGCAGCTAACGTATCGCGATTGCTTTGAAAGTAAAGTTTAGAATTTCCAAAATATTTCAATTCTTTTCAAAAATTTTAAAAATCTCAAAAATCAATTTGTTTCAGCGTTCTAAAAGAAAATTGAATCTGTTTTAAAGATTTTAATTTTTAGTACAAGAAGTTCCTGCAATTTGCCTTAAGGCACGATGCCATGCACCACTAGTCATAAGTGCAACTTTCTGATGTCTCTTTGATATCACATGCCTGAAATTAGGTTTTATTTGTAAAACGTCTAATCACACAAAAATTATATAGATTTTTAAAAGTTCGTGACTCATACGAACAGACCCATAACATAGCATTACGATAACTTTTATCTGAGAATTGGCCTCTAAAAATATTTATAAAGTAATGTTGCAATTTAATTCTAAAAAAACGTGTATAAAGAATGCGAATGTATAAATATAACAAAATATAAATGAATGTATAAATATAACAATATAAATATAATATAACAAAACAGAAGAAGAAACACATAGAAACAAAACAGAACATTAAAAACAAAAAATATATAGGTATAATATAAATTAGTTTATATGCATGAATGTGCAATTTATATAAATACATAGAAAGGCAAAATTTTATAGGATTTACAAAATTATTATTTTATTAATTTAAAATGTGTTATAGAAAATCAATCGATGTAAACTATGGGCCAATTTTCGGACAAACATCTTAGAGCAATTTCGCACTTATTTTGTTCAACATGCTTTTAAAAAAAAATTATTTGATTTTTGGCTTTTGATTTACATCATTTGACCATTAGACCTATTTTATAATTTAACCATTAGACCTATTTTATAATTTAACTATACAGTTCAACATGTTATAAGTGCAATAGTTATTCTTAGCAACCTGTCTTTTTCCAAATTAAACTAAAAAAATAACATTCAGCAATTCAAAATAATAGATACTAAAGCGTTGCACTTATAAATAAAATATGCGTGAAGTCGAAATAATGTTATTTTGGCATTTGTGCTATTTGAAGGTTTGTTCACAGCTTGTGATTGGATCATAAATTTTAATATACGCTCGTTAAACACCATAGGTAACGCTTATATTGAGACCGATATATTGAGTGCCAATATGAAGCAAAATGATTTGTCAATATAAAATAGGTGTAACGAATACCAAACATACATTACACATTTAATTTAAAGTTACAGAAAAGTAATAACATAATATATAGGGTGGCCCATTTAAAAATTGGAAATTATCGATAGCAACTTGCCTGCAGGCCACACCGTGCGGAATTCGAAGTTGCGATATATGGAAAAAACTAAGAATTTTGAGACCTTTCTAACGATGTGTAATTCTTTATATGTTTTCTTTACAGAAATATCTAAACCGTAAGATCACTAGATCACTAGGACCACTAGATGGACCACCCGTTAGTCATGCTATCCTTGAATAGACCCATTAGTCAACAATTCATATGAGAAGATGTAGATATAGACTAAAGAATATACTAAAATTTCTAAAAAATGAAATAAAGAGGAAATTTTTTAGTTTAGAATTTGAGATTAATATATATGCATCAATATGCAATTTATATACATAAAAAAGCACAAATATATCAACCGTTTATAATAAAAGTTCTTTTATAAACATTTGCAAAAATGTCAATAACATTAAGAAAATATTCTTATAAATAATAAATTACTAATTATAACATCTACTAGTATAACAGAAGTAGATATTATTATCTCTTACCCGGTTCAGTAACAGTGTACAAGAAGTGACAAGAGCCATCTTTACGATCTTTGAAGTCGATGACCGCCTTGGATGGTCCCTCAACGGCCACTGCGAGAGCACCCCCTCCAGCCTCGCGCGTCCACACATTTACTTCGGCTGGGTGGCCTTGTTCTCCGCGTTGGAGACCCGCACCTCCTGCTTTTACAAGGTGAGCACCGGAGTCTGTCAATGGGCCCACCGTGTATGGGAATGGTGATCCTAAAAAGAATAAAAACCAAGTGTAATGAGAATGTAATAGAAATCAAATAAAAAACTGTTAAAGACTTTGTAACAATCTTATAAAACTAGGACAAATGTAATATGATTTCAATCAGGATGTAATATGTTGAATACGAAGACAATTCTGGTAAGAATCCCATGAGAACAGAATATTTTTCTGTCTGATGAATCATATTAGAACCTAATAAGAACCCGAAAATGTTCCCACAAGAATCTCATAAGATTCTGTAAATAATGAGAACCTTAATAAGACTCTAGTAGGAATCGCATGATAATATTCTGGTAGAAATCTTATGAGGATCTTATATTATTCTTTTCGAAAATTTAAAACAATATTTCTGGACTTCAACCGAAATTCCATATTCTATATGAAATATTCACATATTCTATAATAACTAATACATAATCATTACCCGGAACAGAAATTATTCATTGAAAAAAAAACTAGTGGGGCGCATGGCATCGTGCCTTAAGGCAAATTGCTGGAACCTCCCGTACCAAAAATTATTATCTTTTTAAAAACGATTACCATTTTTGAAAAAAATTTACTTCGAAAAAATTAGATTTTTGAGAAACTATAAATTCGCCAAAAAATTACTTTTTTTGAAAAAAAAATTGTTTGAAAAAAAAGGTTTCTTTATTTTGGCATAGTTTGGAAATTCTGAACTTTCTTTTCTGTGCAGAGAGACGAAATGTCAAAGCGCGTAAGCGCCGCGTCGTCCTCTAACGGATAAACATTGGTACGGAACCCATGGGAATGTAAACAAAATTTATACTTATTGTTAAAATCTCTATAAAATATCTGATAATTTGATATGCATATGTCTAATGGTCATTTTTGACCCCCAAATGGCTTTTTTTTTACTTTTTTCATTCGATCTCCGAAACCGCTAGACCTGCCTGCACGAAAATTTGATCAATTCTTGATCTTGTCAATACAAGTAAAATGTTTTTAGAATTTTTAAAATCGGACACTCCGTTCTCTTAAAAACCGTGTTACCGTTTTTGGCACTTTTTGCCCCGTATCTTCGGAACGGCTAGACCTGCCTATACCAAAAACTAATCAGTACGTCTCCTTATCGAATGTTTTTTAAATTATTTAAATCGGTTGATCGGTGTTCCCGAAATCGTCGACGAAAATTTGTATCCTCACACACACACACACACGCACACAAACACACGCACACACACACATACATCCATTTTTTCTAAGGTATGCCAAAATGTTCAGAAACCTTTGAAACGTCGAGAAATGCAAAAATTTTCATTTTTGATTTTTATGCGATTACTATAACTTACCCTACGAAAAGTTAAAAAAAATGCTTTACTTAAAAGTTATAGAAACTTCAATAAACCTAGTAAATCTATAATTCGTACAATGTGTGTAAGTATTTTATTAAATGTGTTAACTTTAGTCTTAAATGTTTGTACGTATAATACCACAGATACATAAAACATCGTTATTATTGGAGGGTTCTCTAAGTTAAACATTTACTTATTATAATTGTATTACTTAGTTAATTTGTGCGGCCTTACCTGAGATATGAATGTCTTTATGCTTGACTGATATAATATATAATGCTTGTTTTTGGGGTACAAAGTTAACGGCGTATACCCCATCTTCCTCTTCAGTAACTTCGGCATCTTCGGCAACCCCGTCCTGTTCCTTAACCGTAGCAGCAAGATCAAAGGTACTAATACCTAAATAAAAAAATAAAACGATAAATAAAATTGAAGTAAAACATAATTTTATATTTATTATTATACTTAAAATTTAACGCATTTATAAAACTTATGAAAATAATTTTATTATCACCCCGTATTGAAACAATTCCGAAATATATGATCACCTTGAAATAGTTAATTTTAATCCAGACAATATAGTCAAATTATTTTTGCAACAATTGTTGCTAACATAGGAGATGTTAAATACGTATTTTCACCCAGGTATGCTCGTTATTTCAAGCTACGATTGAGGCTAGAAACGAATTTGGTTTAGAAAAGAGTCACGCCTAATCTAATTTATCATCGCGATTGAGAGGGACTCGAAACGTTCTCCGCGGATGAAGTAATGTTGCGGTCGCATATGAGCAGTTATAAATTTCGGCAAATTACACATTCCGTCCAGAAATAAATGCTCGCCACGCATATCGTGGATTTTTTATAGCAGGAGCAATATTTTATATTATGTGGCACCTGACATTTTGAAGGTCAGTTTGCAGGGTTGGCCAGGATCTGCCGCTCGCACAGGTTCGCGGTGCTTTTGCATCTTCTCGCGTTGTCTGTTGGAACCATCGCCGCTCACCTGAAAATCATACGATTTATATTTTCTTTTCTACATTTATGGAATACTAAGAGAAACATGTGTTTCAACTAATTATATGTAGTAGAAAATGTTTCTTTTAAAATTATTTAATATCTTTTCCACTAACCTTTACAGCAAACGGAGATCCAGTAACATGGTGATCAGCGTACTTTAAGTTCAACACGTAGTAACCGGGTTCAGTTGGTTTATAAGAAAGTTTCACTGTTCCATCAGGTTGATCATTACACTGGATCAACACTTTGCTTGGGCCTTCAATAGACAAGGCAAGTCCTCCATACCCTGCATTTCGAGTATCAACTGTGAAAATATTATCCGCATGAGTTTTTCCCTGATTCAACCCTGGTCCGCTGCACAAAACTTTCGTAGCATCTCCTACTTCGTGAGGTAGAATAACAATCTTGAATGGTGAATTGGTAACATGTTTTCCTAATCTCTTAACTGATACTGTGTGATCACCAGCAGTGCGTGGAGTGAAGACCACTCCGATATTTCCAGTTGGCATCAGTTTCAACATACAGGGTTCTTCGAGTCCTGCAGTTGATTGCACTGAAGCGTTAACAGTGGATATATCAAACTCTCCTGGTTTTACGGGCAGAGTAACTTCACTGACTGTTCTTTGCATTACTTGGCTACGTTTAAGAGGTTCTCCGGTGACTTTAGCGCAAAATGGAGAACCTTGGATGTGGCGATCACCGTAGCGAATTTTGATCGTATAATCCCCTGGAGCGGCAGGAAGATATGAGACGGATACGGTACCATCTTTGTTGTCGTGACAACTGAGCTACAAGTTTAAAAATTAACATAATTATAATATTACAGAATATGTAACATGTACTAGCTCTAGTTCCAATATCTTACTTCAGTTCTGCAAGGTCCTTCAATAGACATGGAGAGTGCACCAGCTCCGGCATCTTTTGTGGATACAGTGAAAACACTTGGCTTGCCAGTTGCTCCTTGTGTCAAACCTGTACCATAGGCTGTGATATATCCAGAAGTCACGGCATCCACGTGGAATTTGAAAGGTGATCCTTTTCGAAAGAACAATGAAAATCTCATATTAATAACAAAAATATAAATATTCTTATATTAAACTATAGGCTGATATTGCTTGAACCTTTAGCAACATTTAATATATACTATGCAAAAAATATTATATATATATATATATATATATATATATATATATATATATTATTGTTGAGTGAATATATATAATTTATTCATTAGGATTAGTAATATTATCAAACTCGACATGATTGACCATCATTTTGTGAGTAATTATAGAAATTGTTCATAAATCTTTCACTAAAGAATGTGCTGCATGGCAGCTTGGTCTCAAGACGATGCGGCTTTAAAAATAGTTTCAGAAGGAGCTAACATCTTGCAAATATATCACAACAGGTTAAAAATCTTGACAACTATATTACAAATCTTATATGAGGTATTTGCAAATAAAATAGGTCATCAATTGTAAAAAAATCTACATAGTTTTAAAATCCATAATAAGATACAATGGTATGCTGAAAACCGTGCAAAATTTTTAGAATTTAGTTAATATATGCCTGGCACGTGGGTAAGTGGGTATATGTAATATGTCAGTCTGATTATACCTTACTTTTTGGCATTTATAATTGTGTTTGATACTAAGTAGTGCACCATTATATTATATTTAATCGATCATCAAAGTAATTGCATTTAATCAGTTCACAAAAATAAACGCATTGCAAAATGTTCGCACTCGATCAAAGGTGCAGGAATGCTTTTAAACATGTGATTACTAATTGTGATTTGGCATAACTAAACCTGCAATTCTAAATGAGATACGCCTGTTTAAATGTGTCAAAATATATTTGTATTTCTATCATTAATTGAAAGACAAATGTTTCAGCGGTATAAAATATTAACTACTTATGAGATTTATTATATTTATACAGCTGTGCACTATTATGAAACTGAAATGATAGTTATACTTGGTTACAGAATATTATAGTCACTTGACCTACCCTAATAACATTTGGTCAAAATATGATTTTTGTTTTTTTTTTAATTTTGATTTTTACAGAATAAGAGTTTTTTACATTAATAGTTTTTACATTGAAGAGTTTCAAATAATGTTCAAAATTTGATGATTTTTTTCGAAATTGTTGAAAGTAGTTAATTAACGTGTAAATTATTGTATATTTATACAAATTTAAAATATTTTTACCTTTTGAATATATTTTTATTGAATTGTACCCTAATTTTATATAACAATAAACATTCACTGTACAAAAAACTCATATGACAGAAAAATAATAAATATAAATAATTAAGTGAATTAAGCTCATCCCAGCAAATAAGTAACTTCCGAAGTGCAGGTTAGTTCAAAATAATAATTAATTATTGACTTGGAACCAAAAGAGTTTATTTTAAGCAGTTGTAGAAGGTGTTAAATGATTCTGCCTAATATGTTTATCATATAAATGTAGACAACATTATATTGAATTGAAAATTTTAAAAATTATTGATATTAGTATTTATATAATGGTCCAGAAGAAAGGAAACTTTTAGCATTCATTTAATACTAACAAACCATTATTTAACTAACATTCATTTAAAACAAATTTCGAACAAAATTTAAAACAATTTTTTTTACTTGAATTTAGCATTTTGACTTGAATTTTATGCATGATTTTATTTGTATATCCAGTAGAAATTAAACTATAGCATTAATTTATTGAACTAACAAAATATATTCTTTTTTTTCGTGTAAAATACTATCCATCCGTTTTAGGAAGATGACTAGTAATTGTTGTCAGCTTTTTCTACAAATGCCTAGTAGAAGGCTACAAAATTTTATTATTAATTATTGTTCTTTCAAGTTATGATTTATTTCAAATTATTTTTTTCTAATTAATTTTCTGTCTAGCACTGCTCAGAAAAGTTACTTTCACTATATAAATTAAAATCTGTCTAATTCATGAAGATATTTAATATGATTATATTTTCAAATACTTTAAACTAGTATTTATAACTTAACTTTTACATAAGATTTTCAGGAAAAGTTATTCACACTTGTAAACATTTTCTGATTGCTATTATATTACTGATTTCTATTTCCAAGTAAAAATAGTAATCAGTACCGCTTTGGATTTGAACTGAGGACTTTGTGGTCGTAAGGTCAAGGCTCCATCAGACGCACCGTACAAAAGACATTATATTTTTTAAAAATAAAATTAAAATTAAGTTCTATCTCAATTCCTATTTACCTGGAACTTCAGCATCGTTGTGTTTGATAAAAAGTTCATGGGTTCCTTGTTCCCTGGGATCATATTTGACGCTGATGGTTCCATCACGATTGTCCTCAACAAAGGGTGTGTCTTTAGTAGTAGTCGGCATATTAAAGTCAGCTGAAAACAAGGAAAAACAAAATTAATGTTAAAGCTCATTTTATATACTATAATTTGGTTCAGTGCCAACAGAAAATACAGAAACGGGTAAAATCTCCGTCGTAAAGTGTCTGGCTGGCATAATGATAAAATTATTAGAAGTCTGAGTGATACATTAAAACTAGTTTTATAGATGCTAAAAGTGGAACATATGAATTTACTCTCGTTATTAGAAAGTGAAATTTAAAGCAGGAAATCTGTTTTAAATTGAAGTGGTAACAATTGCAGAAGGGTAATGGTCACAGTGAGGTGACATATAAAACTTTGCAATAAAAATAGTAAAAAGTATTTATAGCATAATATTGATAATAATTAACTTTCCGAAGGAAAAGTTCATGTTTTAAAAAAAAAATCCATATTGCTAATTTTATGTTTTCTCGACATTTCAAGTCACTCTCAATGTGATGAATGTGACCAAATTTGAAAAAAATATGTGTGTAAGCAGATTCTTTTTTTCTTTCTATTTATTTATACGTTTCGACACTTGATATGTTGCATCTTTCAGCAATTCTAGAATAATTACGTTAAAAAACAATATGACAACTTTCCTCGATTTTTTTTTATAAAATATATACATAAGGAAACTATGAGCTTATTGCAACAGGGGTAAGTAGTAATAGACTTTTTTCAATAGGATCTTAAACGATATTAAGATATTTTGTCTCGATTAGATATGTAAACCGTCCTGCATAATATTGTCCCGGAGGACGACGAAGCGAACAGAATTGTGCAGATGCGTCATTTTTGATAGGTAATTTAAAATTGGACTATTATACAATATTGGATTGCGTTATTATTATTGACTAGTTTTGAATTTTATAATCTTATTTCGTTTCAAGTTTATCAGTATTTGATAATGGGTAACAAACTTTGTGATTGCTAAAAAAAATTGCACCTGGGGTGAGTTGAATCAAAATTTTGGGGCTTGTGCCAAAAATGGAAGTGTTTGAGAGAACTAAACATCCGATTTGAATGACTTAACAAACTGGTGAAAAACGATTTTTTTTTCAATTTTCAAAAAAAAAAATTTTTTTGGATATCGAAAAATAATTCGGATTTTAATTCAAATTTTAGCTAAAGTTCTAAACATCACTTATATACTACAAAAAAATAATTTTAACTTTGCAATTCAGTTTATATAATACTTAGAAATATCAGACAAAGTTCTTCATTTTAAATCCGATTGATTGAAGTTTTAGTTATTTTCTTTTTATAAAATAAGAATAATGAAAAATGATATGTTAGAATAATCTATTTGAAAGCATTTAATATTCCTCGAATATTTTATTAAAGTACGGGAAGTTTCAGCAATTTGCCTTAAGGCTCGATGCCATACACCACTAGTATTTTGGTTTTATATGGCAAATATAAACATTTCAGTAAGCATATAGAAACACAAATCATATATGACGTTACTATTTATTTACTATCATATGCACATGTAATTAAATTTATTATTTAGTTACCGCCACACACTATATCGCTATAAAATTACAAAATTAACTTCAGAACCATGAAACGTCATAACCATGACAAAATCCTGAAATCTATTAAAATATCCAGGAAGAGAGCAAAAGAGCAGCTTCTAGGATTTACATCATTAATATGCGCGTGAAGGTTACAACATGCTCTCGTTTTAAAATATCCAAGAACATCTTAACGCAATTGGATTAGGAATTAGTTGACCCAATTATGATATATTAATATTAATTTCAATATTTCTCATATAAAATTCGAGCAGCCAAAACCGCAGAGCGAAAACGTATATCTGTCTGGCACTGAATGAGATGAAGACGCCAAAATAGATGGGAGTTTTAGACCTGTGTACCGCTAATTTAAAATGCAAACAAACCATAATAAGTAATAAAATAATAAAACAAAATGTTTTTTTATATTTAATTAAATGTTACTAACCCACTGCACGGCATACCAAAAAATTAAACAAAAAATTTGTAAATTAAATATATGAGCATGGCAATACCTTAACTGATACGTTTGTTGATACTATTGACCAAATAAATATAAATTGGAGAGAGCAATTTTTTGGTAAAATAGAAATGTTATGGTGATGCTATGTCACGGGTATAGTTCGTATGAGTTGGTGGTCACAAACTGCCAAGAGGCTATGTAATTGCTGTGCAATCAGGCGTTTTGCTTAAAACCTAACTTCACGTATGTGTTATCGAGGAGACATCAGAAAGTTGCGCTTATGATAAAACTGCTACCTGACGTTTGTGAGTTTTGTAGGTTATATTTTATGTGTAAAGCGCCTAAAGTTACTACCAACTCATGCGGAGTTAGACCCGCAATATAGCATCACCATATCATTACTATTTTATCCTAGAATAGGCCTCTAAATCCACATACATAAAACTGGGCTTACATCTGTGTGCAGTGGCGTCGGAAGCAAATTTTTGATGGGTGGGCTCGTTTTTTTTTTTTTTTTTTTAATAGACAGGCAGTGGGTTCGTTTTTTTAGGCATATTAGCCCATAAAATTTTTTTTAAATTGATGGGTGGGCTAAGCCCCCCCATCAAAATTCATGGGTGGGCTCAAGCCCACGCAGCCCACACGGTTCCGACGCCACTGTCTGTGTGCATTTGTGTGATTGTTAAAATAAAGAGCTAATACAAACTAGTGGTGCATGGCATCGTGCCTTAAGGCAAATTGATGGAACTTTCCGTATCAAAAAGAAAAAAAAATGAGTATTTTAAAATTTTTGAAAAAATTAGACTTTTTGGAAAATTTGAATAATTTTTATATTTTGAAATTTGTTTTATACTTTGATTTTTTCTGAAAAGTTTGGACTTTTTTTTAAAGCAATCGTGCTGCATGGCTGGTTTAGAGAAAATATATCAAGGCGCGACAGCGCTGCATCGCAGTCTAAGGAATAAACATTAGTACGGAACCCACAGAAATGTAAACTAAATCCATACTTCTTATTAAAACCTCTATAAAATATCTGATAATTTGATGTGTATATAATCATTTTTGACCTAAAATGGGTTATTTTTTACTTTTTTCTCCAAAACCGCCAAACCTGTTTTTGCAAAAATTTAAAGGGCATTTTATTTCAATACAAATATAATGTTTTTTGAGTTGTTCAAATCGGACGCTCCGATTCCTCGAAAACTGAGTTACAATTTTTAGCTCTTTTTGTTCCGTATTTTAAAAACGGCTAGACCCGCCTTTGCCAAAAACTAATCAGCACATCTTCTCATTAATAGGAATCGAATTATTCAAATCGGTTGTTCAGTGTTACCAAAATCGTCGACGAAAATTTTTATTTGCACACACATACATCCATTTTTTCTAAGGTATGCCATAATGTTTAGAAACCTCTGAAACGTAAAGTAACGATTTTTTGCGATTACTATAACTTACCTTACGGGAAGTTAATAAAAAGTTATAAAAATACATTGTTTTCTACAAAAAATTGCTAATTTCGTGTTTTCTTGATGCTTCAGAAAATTTCTAATTAATATGTCTGTGAGCCAAAATTTTTTTATTGGGCTACGATTTTTCAGAAACAGCTGCACCAATTTCAATAATTTAAAAGCCATTCGATGAATCTCGATAAGGACTCGTGTTGATTAGATTCGCACGACAGTCAGCCATATCGTTTCTTCGTAATTAGTAGACAAATGTTAAAAATTATCATCACATTTTCACTAAAAAATCTAAATAGATTTTGAAAATTCAGAAACTTTTCGAAAGATATTAGATGGAAATTGTGCTGATTAGTTTGTGGTTAATATTTGCCGGATCTTGATTCTTCGTAATTAGTTGTTGAAGACCAAATTTTCAAAAATGATAGATTTTATGGTTTAAACCATAGTCCACGTGGAACTCCAGGAGTCTATGACAATATTCAGTCTAGTAAAAAAAAAAAAAAAATTAAGGTCCACGAAATAAAAATGGGAGTCTACAGTATTATAAAAATATATAACGTAAATTGGATATCAAAAAAATTATATAAATTCTACAATTTCCTCCTATCAAATCGCCTTGATAATTCTGCACTCGAATAATATCTTGGCATAATATTCCATCTTAAATGATTAAATGACGCATTAGTATGATGGTCGCGCATGAAATATTTATTTTCGTGATATTTCTAGCGCCTTTGAAATTTTTAAACGTGAAACATATAATAAATATTTTATCGTGTTCATAAAACAATGCTTAGGTTCATCTAATTATTCTTAAACTGAGATATATTAAGAAAACTCAAGCATAAAGCTGTTGTTTTATATAATTTTTAATGAGACATTTTAAATTGTATATGTTATGCATAAAAAATTTTTGCTAAATGTTGTATAAATGATTACAAAATATTTGACTAACAATGAGTTTATGACTTAAAATTCCATTTCACCGTTTACTTTAATAATAGAATAGAACTAGTGTGACTAACAATCCAAAAATATATAATTATTTATATCTAAAGCTAATAATAAGATTTAAGTAAATGTTTTATTAATAGAATTTAATCGTTAAAAATTATATAATATATAATACTTTAAGAAACTGGACTGGGGAAGGACAAAAACGTTTTTTCTTCAATGTTGCCACATCACTCCTCGCCATCTTTATTTTCGGTTTATTTGAAAATTATAATTATATACTGTTATACGATAGATATACTTTTAAAACTTTATTATACAGCTATTAACCGGAAGAATTGTACTTGAAAATAAAAAACAGAAATCGTAGTAAATATTTTTTCGTTTTTTATAGATTTTCAAAAAAAGTTAATATTTACATCTAAAAGTTCATATATATATATATATATATATATATATATATATATATATATATATATATATATATATATATATATATATATATATATATATATATATATATATATTATATATATATATATATTCAGAATCATACAAAATATATATATATATATATATATATATATCAATACCCATTTATTGATAGAGCCTATT